CACCCCAACACAAGGACATGTTACACTGGTCTGGCCACTCCCAACACAAGGTCATGTTACACTGGGCTGTCCAGCACCCAGCCACACTGCTCCATCCAGCCAGAACTTGGGAGGAAACTTATGAAGTGTATCCCCCAAGTAAGCTGCTCCAGAGATTAAAGGAGGGAAACGATATCTACTGTCCATTATACCATTTATCAAAGGCCTTCTTGCTATTGTCAGCTGGGGGCAGGGGGAAGGCAGGAGCGGTGGTTGAGGTGGGCCAGTACAACCCCCAGGCTGCGTGTTAGTGTATCAGATCAAAGCCTGTGAAAACCACCTACCTCAGCAGTGGCTGGAGTAAGTGAAAGGGTTAAAGGAACTAGGAGTTGGGGCACAAGACACAATAGAGGGTGGCAGGGGCGGAGAAATAGGACACTGGGGAGAAAACCTTGCAGAAAGCCAAGCTGGGTTTGATCTCTGCCCACCCACCCCCCAATATGGTCTCCCAAAACCCGCAATGAGGTATCCCTGCATACAGAAACAGGCGTAAGCCCTGAGTACTGTGGGGCCCAACAGAGGGGGCCCAACCCCTCTGACCCAAATAAAGATATAATTTAGATGTGACTCCATATTTCTAAAATGTGGTTTGACCTAAAATATGAGGACAACCTGGGTTAAAAGGTCCAATGTTGGACAGATAATGCAAAACAAGCAAGTAGCAGCAGTATGCCGAGAGAAAAGCACTTTGAGAAACTTTTCTCATTTCTTCCTTATGAAAATCTCGAGACTGTTAGGGAAACACAGAAGGTCAGAATCAGAGATTTCTCAGCTGAAACCAGCTTGGAGTCCTTAGGCAGTTCCACCACAGAGGGTCCCACTTGTGCAGCAGCCTGTCTGCTGGGACTCACGCCACCGGAGATGAAGCCTAGTGTGGGATTTACGGCTTATAGGTGTATATAGGAGAAGTGGGAAGAAAGAAGCTACTGTAATCAGTTGATGGACAAAACGTTTTCAAAAGAGGTACTGATGCCATTCGAGGGGAAGGGGCTGTCTTTTCAACAAGAATATCACTGAGAATGAAGTTTACCTTATACCATATAAAAAAATGATCTATAATGTCTCAAAGACCCAAACAAAAGATTAAAAAAACTCAAGACTTTTTGTTTCGTTGGGATTGCAGGCCTCACCTATAAATGCTCAGGGGTTACTCCTGGTTCTGCACTCATGAGTTATTACTGGAAGTGCTTGGGGGACCAATGGGATGCTGGAAATTGAACCCAGGTCAGCAGTGTGTAAGGCAAGAGCCCCACCCGCTCTACCATCACTCCATCCCCTGCCCAAGATGTTTTAGACAAAAGCACAACACAGGGGAAAGCTTCATGACTTTGGGTTTAGAGAGATTTCTTAAATGTGACACCACAAGCACAGAGGCAGTAAAAGAAGAAACTAGATTGTTATTTTATCAAAATTTAAAACGATTATCTCAGTAAAGCCAAGGGAAAGTTTTTAAACTTGGTACATCAAAGGATATTTCTAGAGAGTGAAATGGCAATCCACTGAATGGGAAAAATATTTGCAAATCATATATCCAATAAGGAGTCACTAATAAAAATATATAAAGGACTCAAAATCAAATAAAAATGAACAACATAACTATACACATTTTCTTCCATAAGAGATACTCAGCTGACCAATAAGATACTTAAGATCAATAATCATTAGGGAAATGCAAATAAAACTGTAATAAGATACTTCACACATACTGGGATGGTTGTTATAAAAAGCAGCCCCGATGGGGAAAAGAGACCATAACAAGTATGGAAAAGATATGGAGAGAGCAGAACATTTATATTGCTTCTGGGAACGTTAATGGCTCAACTGCTATGGAAAACAGAATGGTGGACTCTCAAAAAAAAAAAAGGTAAGGTGGAGTTCATGTCGAACTCAGTCAGCCTAATCAATGGCAGAATAAATAGCAATACTCCTACGTAAAAAAAAAAAATACTTAAGAGCACACAAAGAAAACAATATTTAGCTGTTTTCATCTGAAATGTTTATAGTATTTTAAAATTTAAAACTACTTTAAAAACCTGCTCACTGTAAGTACTACAAACACTACATAAATACAACAATGAATGCTTTTATTTTTATTTTTCTAACATTTTTATTAGTGAAACACCATGAGGTACAGTTGTAGACTTACAACTGTGCTTGGGTTTCAATTATACAGTGATCAAATACCCATCCCTCCACCAGTGCACATTTTCCACCACCATGGGTCCCAGTATCCCTCCCACACTCCATAACCCCCCACCCCTCCATCCCACTCTGCCTCTGTGGCAGGGCTCCTGGGAATATATCCCAAAGAGGCAAAAAAAGTATAGTCGAAGTGAATGCTTTTAAAGTTCCCCAAATCGTACCATCCCAAACTTATTGCTATTTTTAGTTTTGGGGCCAAACTTGGCAATGCTCAGGGTTATTCCTGACTCTGCACTCAGGAATCACTCCTGGTGGTGCTCTGGGGACCATGTGGAATGTTGGAGATCAAACCCAGCTCAGCCGCATGCAAGACAAATGGCTTACTCATTGTACTTTCAGGCTCCAATATTCATTACTACACAAAAATATTGCGAGGTGCATATTTCTTTACATTTACACAGAAGAATAAATCGGTGAAAATTCTATCAGTGATATCTCAAGATAATTTTATTTCCATTTTTCTCATTACCCAGTACTGAATCTCCTCATATATTTAAGCCATCCATACTTCAATTTCTATATATTGCTTCTATCTCTTACCTATTTTTTTTCTTTTTTGAGGGTCACACCGGCAATGCTCAGGGGTTACTCCTGGCTCTGCACTCAGGAATTACTCCTGACAGTGCTCAGGGGACCATATGGAATGCTGGGAATCAGCCGGGTCCACCACGTGCAAGGCAAACACCCTTCCCACTGTGCTATCACTCCAGCCCCCTAATTTTTTATTTATTTTTTGCTTTTTGGATCTTACCAGGAGATGCTCAGGGGCTACTCCTGGCTCTACCCTCAGGAATTACTCCTGGCAGTGCTCAGGTGACCATATGAAATGCTGGGAATTGAACCCGGGTCGGCCGTGTGCAAGGCAAACACCCTACCCACTGTGCTATCGCTCCAGCCCCATTACCTAATTTTCTACTGAAAAACAGCTGTATTATCTTCTTCTGTGTGCTCTTAAGTATTTTTTTTATGTAAGAGTATTGCCGCAGTAGTGGCCGCATGATTTTAGAATTTTGAAATTTTAACAATAAACCTGGAGGGATTTCTGCTAAACCTGCTGGGTTCCGAGATTTGTTCCTGAGTTTCTGGGATCATGGCTGTTAAGCATCTTGATCAGGAGGCAGAGAGGTTGCTCGTGGGCGATGACCCAGGGCCTCAGGGTAGGGAGGAAAGGGCCAGTTCCACTCCCATCCCATGAGGCCCCTCATGTCTCATCACTGCGGGCCAAACCTGAATGTCCAATGGCCTCTGGAGGATGGCATCCACCAAGCCGCCAGGGGAAACAGGCCAAGGCACAAAACCTATTCCCACCTGGGGTGGTCTGGCGCCATTAACCTACTGCGGGACCAGATGCATTTCTGCCAAAAGCCGCTGGTTTCCGAGATTTGTTTCTGAGTCTCTGGGATCATGGCTGTTAAGCAGCTTGATCAGGAGTCAGAGAGGCTGTTCGTGACTGGTGACTCGGGGTCTTCTTGGGGCTGGAAGGAAAGGCTTCACCCCCAGCCCATGAAGCCCTGTGTGTCTCGTCACTGTGGGTCCAAACCTGACTCTCCAATGGCCTCTGGAGGATGGCTGCCACCGAGCTGCCAAGAGGGAGCAGGTAGAGGGACAGCATCCTTCCCCCCTGGGGTGGCCCAGTGCTGGTAACCTACTGTGGGGACCGGAAGCATTTCTGCCAAAAGCCATTGGGTTTCGAGATTTGTTTCTGAGTTTCTGGGATCATGGCCATTAAGCGTTCGATCAGGAACCAGAGAGGCCATGCCTCCAATTCTATAGCTGAACTGGAGGTGGTTTGTGGGTGTGTCTCCCAACATACCTAACTTTTGGCCGTTTACTTTCTTGATAAACTTGCCCCCAAGTTTTTGGGGTTTGGCCAAAGGCATAGCAGCAATTTTTGGGGTATCTGGAAGTCTGAAGGCACCATCAGGCTGCTGATGCACTTGCCTGCTGGCGGCACCATACCCCCGAACTCTTAAGTATTTTTTTAAAAATAACAATAACAGCTATGGACTAGAGAGACGGTGTAGTCAGTAAGGCGCTTGCCTTGCATGTGACTGATCTGCAGTCAATCCCAGCACTACTTCTGGTCCTGAATCCTATCAGGGCTGACCCCAGAGAACAGAGTAAGCCTTGAGTACGGGGGATGTCGTCCAAAACAAAGCAATTAAAGGAAAAGAAACAAAAACAAAATTTTTGAAAAATGCTTCTCCTACCCCTCACAACATTCAATATTTTTTTTATGTATTCAACTTCTGACATAACACACATCTAATTTTTTTTTCTCTTTGACAGCTTTATCTCCAGCTATGCAGTATCCTTCATTTCTGACTTTCCCAGTTCTACCATGGACAGGGTTTACCTTATGCTAATCCTCTTCCTCAGAAGCAGGATAATATATTGCCTAAGGAGATTTGCAAGTGAGCTCCAGGTTTGATCCTGGCACCACATTTTCCACCAAGCACCAAGCACCATGGAAGCAATCCCTAAACATAGCACCCAAGAAAAATATATTAAAAGTAGTATTTTCCACTTACTAGCTCTTAACTCTAGGCCATCTACTTACCTTTCTGAGATTCTGTTCCCTTATCTGTAAGATAAATGACCTATAGCATTGGGTTTCTATAAGGATTAATTAGATGGTGCATATAAAGTGCTCAGTAGAACTAAATTTGTGTTAATAATAATATTGCTCTTCCTCCTGACCTCTCTAATTAAATTATTATCTCTACAAACAATTAGTCATTTCATTTATTGTTGACACCATGAAGGAAACTATAACTACCTTTGGGCTTAAGGTACTCAAACATTACATTCACTTTACATTAAGTAGGTTTTATAAATTAACCAATAATTTTACTGCTTCATCTTTTATTGGAGGGGGTGGGGAGTGGGCTACACCAGGCAGTGTTCAAGGGCTATTCCTGGCTCTCTGCTTAGGAGTAACCCTGGCAATGTTCAAGAGTCTGTATGTGGTACCAGGGATTTCAACCAGGATTGTGGCAGACACCACTGCGTGCAAGACAAGCACCTTACCAAAAGCAAGCACGTTTACCCTCAGGAAAATAAACTTCATGAAGTCCACTCCTATTCTTTTTCTCTTTTAGTCCTAGCAGACTAATAGCATCTAGGCTTTCTTAAAGCTTGGTAACAAGTCTTGCAAACTCACCTACTGTCAGCTTTCACACTTTACCATCAGATGGAGACAGGCTCTCTGGAGTTGGTGATTAGTGAAGGAATGTTGTCTGGCTCCTGAGAGAGCTCAGTGTGCAAACAATCACACAGTCGTTGTCATGATTTCTGTTCAAACCCGCTTCAGTACAATGACCGCATATGAACCTGCACAGCTCTATTCCCAGGTCAAGCAATTCACTCAGGTGATTCACTCAGACAGGCTGTGGGGCCTGCACACTGTCCGAGTCAGGGCCACCCCATGAAGCCAGCTCTCCAAGGGCATCTTTCTCAGATCAAATGTAAATCCATTTCTTCAGGAACATGTATCAAAAACTATTCCTTTTCTCAGAGAAGTGGCTCCACTCACCCACCCCAGGCCCTGCAAAGTAAAATTACTTACCTTTTTTCAAGCCCATCTCTCATTCCGTTTTTTGCTTTATGATTTTTTCTTCCTCTTCAAGGAGGTTAATGGATATTTTTTGCTATTTTGTTCAAGAGGTGACTAATTTTAGAATTAAATTTGGAGATTATCCATGGAACCAGTATATTACAAAGAAGACCAGATACTAGCTCTCAGTAGAGATGCAAAAAAATATCTTCCTGGGCCAGGACAATAGCACAGCAGGTCGGGTGTTTTCCTTGCACACAGCTGACCCAGGTTCGATCCCTGTCATCCCATATGGTCCCCCAAGTACCGCCAGGAATAATTCCTGAGTATGCAGGAGTAACCCATGACATCGCTGGTGTGGCCAAAAACAAAAAACAAAACAAAAAATATCCATCCCCATTGGGGCGGGGGGGGGGGGGGGGGGGGGTTGGTAAAGAGAGTACAGCTGGGATTAAGCAGTGCCAGGAATGAACCCAGGTCTCACACCCTAATCTCTGGCTCCCACAATGTAGACATTTTTGTCTGCTTGTTTGAGTCATACCCAGAAGTGCTCAGAGCTCAGTCCTAGAAGGGCTCAAAGGACCATATCTGGACTGGGATCAAACCCAGGTTGACTGCATGCAAGGTCTTCTACCTACACGCTGTACTATCAGACCCACGGTGTAGATGTTTAATCAGCGCTAGAACACTGACACAAATAAAATTTTGACCACACAAGGTGAAGGACTAAATCTAAACTTTTGGAAATAACCTGAGATGAGAAATATCAGACAAGTCTTTGCCTCCAGGCACTTCTCTGCTCACACATTAAGAGTAAAAGTAAAGAGTGTTATCCGGCTTTGTCCTCCTGTATGTATTCCTTTCTCTCCTGACAAAGTAAATGCACCTTAGTTTCAGTCAGAGGCAAGAATTACTTCCTCTAAGAGAGCGGTTCCACTGCCCGCCTTGACTCCTCCCCCACCCCCATTTCCTTTAAACTACGCACCAAAACCATCAACTTCTGGAGGGGGAAATAAAGGCATTCCCCCTGCCTCCCCTCCCCCAAGCCCCTTAACTGTCATTTGGCCTGTCCCACTCCACCTGCTTTCAATGGTTTTTCTGTTTTTGTGTTTTCTTTTTTGGCTTTTGGGCCACGCCCCGCGGTGCTCAGGCCTTACTCCTGGCAGGACTGCGGGGCGGGGGGGGGGGGGGGGGGGGGGTGCGGGGGACACACAATATTAGGTGCTGGGGACCAAACCCTTGTCAGCGCAAGTGCCTTACCCACTCAGTACAGTTCTGGCCCCTTCTCCTCCACCTACTTTTGTCTCTCTCTCTCTCTTTTTTTTTTCAGAGCTCCAAATCTTTGTATGGCAGCATAATTTTCCATGCTAGAGTTGTGTGTGTGTGTGTGTGTGTGTGTGTGTGTGTGTGTGTGTGTGACTGTAACACTGTCCTCCCGTTGTTCATGGATTTACTCAAGCGGGCACCAGTAACGTCTCCATTGTGAGACTTGTTACTGTTTTTGGCATATCGAATACGCCAGGCTCTGCCCTGCAGGCAGGATACTCTCCATAGCTTGCTGGGCTCTCCAAGAGGGACAGAGGAATTGAACCCCGGTTGGCAGCGTGCAAGGCAAACGCCCTACCCCCTGTGCTATCCCTCCAACCCCCCCACATATATAAGTGTATATGTATATATTTTTTCTTTTTTCATTTTTTGAGGCAGCACTGGTCTAAAACCCCACGTGCTGCAACGGGAAGGACTCAGAGGAACCATGACATTGGTCCCAGCGCCTTCCATCATGTGGGCACCCACATGACAAATCCGCAGACCCCCACCGACTCTGGCAGGGATTAAGCGGTTTACTGTGCTCTCTGTTCCAGTAACCAAGCTTTCCCTCACAAAAGCAAAATCCCGCGGACATCACCCTTGATTTCTGGCGGCCCAGGATGCGGGAGTGCGGCGCGGGGTGCGGCGCACGCGGGTGGCTGGACGGCGCTGGGCGGGAGAGCCGGCCAGTGCGCGTGCCCGGCCGGGGTCTGCGCGCGAGCCGGGGGAGGGCAGGGGAGGGGGGCTCCTGCCCGCCGGGCTGGGGCGCATCCCGGCCTTGGGCCCCCACCTCTGGCCGCCGGCCCGCTCGCTCCCCGCGGGCTCGGGCCCGCCTCTGAGCGGTTTTCGCTTTCACTTTCCTGCCGCTGTTGTTGAGGAAAATGAAAGCGCCGGAGAGCAGGGCCCGTGCGGCCGCGGCGCGGGGCGAGGGGCGCAGCGGGCGGCCAGCGGCGGCGGGGACCGGGCGCCGGAGCCGGGGCCGCAGCCCGAGGTAAGCGCAGCCCCTTGGCGGCCGCTCGCGGGCTCCTCCCTGCGGGCGGGCGGGGCTCCCCGCGGCCGGTCGGCTCGGGCTCGAGACGCTGCACCCCCTGCCCGGGCTTTCGCAGCCTGGAGCGGCTGGGCATCGCGGGGAGACCCGGAGAGCGCCCTACGGTGCCAAGGGTCTGTCCGCTGGCGGGGGGAGGGGGTGTTCCGCGGGGATGGACGAGGGCGCCCTGGCAGGGGTAAAGCCAGGACGCCGCTCCCCGCAGAAGTTTCCTTTGTGTAGGGAATCAGCCCACCCCACCCCTCCCCACCCCGCAGCCAGCTTTGGAACGTTTTCACATTGGGGCGTCCTCTGAGCCCCGTGAGTTGGCGGACTGGCAGCCCTGGGCGCGCTTGGTGAGGGCCCAGGGCCGCGCCGGCGGGGTGCACAGTTCGGGAGGGCCTGTGGCTGTGCGAGGCAGCGGGGTCAAAGTGAGCGCCTTTTGGCCGTCTTCCGTGGTGGAGGATGTGCTGCTCATTTGTGATCTGGGGGGTGGGGTGGTGAGGGGCCCTCCCCCCGCATGCCAGGCAAAGCATGCATCCAGCTCTGTGAGTCCCCCAACCCGCACCCCCTCTCCCGTGCCGGTGGCACTGGAGAAGTGGTTTCACTTCAGAGCTGAAGACACCCTTAGTGCTTTGCCCATCCTGGGTCAGAGAAAAATGTTTACTCCAGGGGCCCAGACTGCTGGGCGTGGGGACACGCAGCCGTGGCAGAGACGCTAAGCGCTGAAAATGAATTGACTGAATTTGTTGCCCCTTGACTTACTTACATCACTTAAGTGATGACAGGTTTGGTTTGGTTTTGTGTTTTTGGGCCACATTCTGCGGTATTCGGGTGCTCTTGGCTCTGTGCCCAGGGATTACGGACCAGGGATCACTCCTGGCGGGATCAGGACCCTATGGGGTGTGGGTGGTCGAACCTGAGTCGGTCTCCTGCAAGGCAAGCACCCTACCAGCTATGCTGTCTCTCCACCCCATCAAGTGAAGACAGATTTTGTAGTCAATCCCATGAACCTTCTTTAACTTCAGTTTTTTAAAATAAAACTCAGTTGTTTTTTTTTTTAAAAAAAAAGCAAAACAAAAAAACAACCTCAGCCTAATCCCATGGGCATGATGATTAAGCCGAAGCATAAATAAAATGAAGTTCTTTACTGCTGGCTCTGTACTCAGGGATCACTCCTGGCAGTGCTGAGAGAACACATGGCGTGCTGGAGATCACACCCAGGTTGTGTGCAAGGCCGAGAATAAGGCAAGCACCTTAGTGCTGTGCAATTTGGCCCCAAACTTGAAATTTCTTAACTCTGAAAATAGCCATCTGAATTTGACAGAAGATAGCTCAAGGTCTTCATTTTTTTAAACATGAAATTGAGTGTCCCTGGCTTTTAGAGAACGCCTTTTATCATGACCCAGGAAATCAGATTTTGTGACTTACCCTCAATGGACTATTTCTCTTCCTTTCTTTTGAATTCCCTGAGATTCTTCTGGTCTCTGTCCCTCCTATTACTAAATTTAAACCGTGATATATGGCTCTCTTCCGTTCTCTTCTGGCTGAGAGCGGGCGGATGAGGTGGGTGTGGGTGGCTCATGGACACCACTCGTCAGGTTTCCACCCCTCCAAGTTCTTGATTCCATTTTCTTGAAAGCCCCAAAGACTCAGCTGAGACCAAGCAAGACCCTATCTTCCCACCACCACCTTTTCTCTGTGGCTTTTTTATTCATTGGCTTAGTCACCAGCATATGGTGTTCCTTATTATTATATTTGTTTCATAAGAAAGTTATTCATGCTTTTTTTTTTGCCTTAGAATCTGAGGCTTACAGAATGGAATCACTCACACTTTTCTCAAATTATTGTGCCCTGTTAATCTTAATTTATTTAGGGCTATTCTTTCATTATTTAAAATTTTGCTCTATTCTTCCCACCCCCTTTATCCTCCAGTTTTCTCTCCTCCTCAGGCACACACATATTTATTTGTTCTTAAAAACTACCTTAATCTGCTTAGATTAGATGCTTAGAAATAGAGTATCATTGAAAGAGATTGTTAGGTATTAGCTCCTGAAGCATCGAAATAGATAATAAATACCACTGTGCTATAATGCCCATGTTTCTGTCCCCCCGTTGCTCCCCCACCCCACCCCAGCTTTGTATCTTTGAGTCCATCTATATTGCCTTGCACAAATCTAGTTAGTCCCTTATGGCTGCTGCCTTTAGTAGTGTCCACTGAAAGTGTACTTCACGGCACTCAACCCATCTCCTGGAAATAGAAATTGGGCAGCCTCTCCAACTCATGGCGTCTACAAACGATGCTGCACAGACATCCTTTGGGGTATCTCCCTGTGGTCTTGTGCAAGAATTTCTCTGAGCTAGATAGGCATCATAATATTGCTGGTTTGAGGATACTTACATGCCAACTTTGAGTAAAGTTTGCTGCGTAGAGCTGCAAAACGGCTTCATCAGTTTTCTTCCCACGAGTAATGCATGAAGGGCCCCTTTCTCAGCATTTGCTGGTCAGTCTGTTTAAAGGAATCTAGTTCCCTTTAAACCCAGCATGTCATCTGTTTGGCCATTTGTGATATGCATCTTATTTGCCATTACTTATTTTTTTAAATAAATAAAAAAAAGGTAAAGGTAAAGGCCCTCCCGTTGATCGTCGATTTGCTCAAGTGGGCCCAGTAACGTCTCCATTGGAGACTTTGTTGTTACTGTGTTTGGCATATCGAATACTCTCGGTAGCTTGCCGGGCTCTCCGAGAGGGGTGGAGGAATCGAACTCAGGTCGGCCATGTTGGCCTCTTGTAAGGCGAACGCCCTACCCGCTGTGCTATCGCTCATTATTAATATTATTATTAAAAATAATAAATAAATTATAAATAAATAAATTATAAATAAATAATTATAAATAAATAATCTAACAATGTTAAACTATTGTCTCTTATGCCCTTCTTTCCTATTATTATTTCTTCTAAGAAATGCTATCCCCTTCCCTTCGCTGTTGTGATGACTGGGTGCCCCCCTCCCCCACCCTTGGCTGTGGTGCTCACAGACTGTCACATGTACTTGTGCTGGAGCTGGGAAGGTGACTTGCTGTTGTGTTCTTGAACATTCCGATTGTAGTTCTCACCGTGGGTCACAGTGATGGCCCACACATGCTCTCTAGGGCAGTTGAGGTGCTCGCATACAGCTCATGCTGGTGGGCAGAGGTGGCATACTTTGTTGTGGTGCGGGAGGGTCCAGAAGGCAGTGTTCCGCACATGTGGGTGGCCACAGAGATCAATTTTAGAGCCTCAGACTTGCCACTGAGCCATTCCCCAACCTCATTTATAAAAATTATATCTATCTATCTATCCGTCACTGTCACTGTCACTGTCCTCCCGTTGTTCATCAATATGCTCGAGCGGGCCCAGTCACGTCTCCATTGTGAGACTTTGTTGTTACTGTGTTTGGCATATCGAATACGTCACGGGGAGCTTGCCAGGCTTGGCCGTGCTGGCGAGATACTCTCGGTAGCTTGCCGAGCTTTCCGAGAAGGGCTGAGGAATTGAACTTGGGTTGACCTTGTTGGCTGCGTGCAAGGCAAACGCCCTACCCGCTGTGCTATCGCTCCAGCCCCTATCTATCTATACCTGCTATTTTTCTATCTGCACTCAGTGCATTTTGTTCTTTGTATATTGATATCCTTATATATTAAAATGCATTACCAGAGAGATGGTACATCAGGAAGAACCAAAAACAAAATATATATAAATATATATGTATGTATATTAAATGTAAATATTTTAATTCTTTGCCTAATTTTCTCACATCTGTTAATCTCATTTATGGCCTTCCCCTTAAAAATTAACAGCCTTATTTAGACATAATTTACATATCATAAAGTTGACCTGTTTTTGTTTGTTTTTGTTTGGGGGCCTCACCCAGCTGTGCTCAGACTTACTGCTGGCTCTGTATTCATGCATCACTCCTGGTGGGGCTCCGGGGGCCATATGGTGTACCAGGGATCGAACCCAGCTTTGCGGTGTGTAAAGCAAGCACCCTACCCGCTGTACTATCTCTTTAGTCCCTAAAGTGCACCTGTTTAAAGTATACAACTAAATGTCTTGGAGTATATTTACAGAAGGTGTAACTATCGCTATAATTTTAGAATATTTTATTAAAGGTAAAGGTAAAGGCCCTCCCGTTGATCATCGATTTGCTCGAGCGGGCCCAGTAACGTCTCCATTGGAGACTTTGTTGTTACTGTGTCTGGCATATCGAATACATCACGGGAACTTACTAAAAAAAAAAAACAACAAAAAACCCTGTTACTCCTTCTCCCATATTCTTCTATATCCCTTCCCCAACCCTAGACAATTACCAGTCTACTTTCTGTCTCTGTGTTTGCCTGTTTCTGGACATTGTACATAAATAGGATTGTACAAAGGCCAGAGAGATAATACAGCAGGTAGAGCACTTGTCTTTGCTTACCCAGCTTCACTTATGGTCCCCTAGTCCCCACCAGGAGTGATCCCTGAGAATAGCCGACTATGGACCAAAACCAAAAACAAAACAAAAAATAGTCATTTGAATGTACATGCATGGTTTGTTGTGATTGTCTTTTTTAAACCTTAGAATATTTTCGAGGTTGCCCGCATTAGCTCTGCACTGTAGCACTGTCCTACCCTTGTTCATCAATTTGCTTGAGCAGGCACAAGTAACGTCTCCGTTGTGAGACTTGTTACTGTTTTTGGCATATCAAACACGCCACGGGGGGCTTGCCAGGCTCTGTCATGCGGGTGGGAAGCTCTCTGCTCCGAGATGGACAAAAAAATCGAACCCAGGTCAGCCACGTGCAAGGCAAACGCCCTACCCATTTCTCATGTGTAATATAATTCCAGCATATAATGACAGCCCACGTTATATGTTGGAATTATATTACACATGAGAAATGTTTGTATGCATTTTAGCACATATCAGTAATTTGTTCTTTTAATT